CTGGTCACCGGGTTCACCGCGCAGTGCGCTTACCACTGCGCCACCGCTCCCCACACGCACACACACGCACACTCAATAGATTATCTCCCGTGCCCGAATCTCAATCACCAGCTTTAATAACATCTGTAAATACGACGGGTTCAATTCTGAGCTCATCGCGCAGTTTTCCAGCTGACTTCATAGCAGCTTCACCTTTGTTTGTGATCATCATCAATCACCGCGAATGTGCCACGCGGGCACGCAGAGTCGAGTGCGGGTTGCCAACCGTCCCGGATTGGGTCGGGAGGTCTCTGGTGGGATTTAGCGTCGATGTGTCGCGGGAGATTCTAAATGGTGCAGTCAGAGATATTTTAAAGGAAATAAATGGAGGTAACGGATGCACTAATTTCGTCGTGCACAAGTCGAATTTAATCAGTGACCATAATTAACTACCTCGCATGGTATACAGGAGGTCGTGGGTTCGAGCCCGACCCTGACGCCTGCTGCTGTATATTTGGAGTTTGCGTGTCTCTCTCTCATCATCATCATCACGGTGGCTAGCAGATGTTAACTACCTCGCATGGTATACAGGAGGTCGTGGGTTCGATCCCGACCCTGACGTCTGCTGCTGTATATTTGGAGTTTGTGTGTCTCTCTCTCATCATCATCATCACGGTGGCTAGCAGATGTTAACTACCTCGCCTGGTCTACAGGAGGTCGTGGGTTCGATCCCGACCCTGACGCCTGCTGCTGTATATTTGGAGTTTGCGTGTCTCTCTCTCTCATCATCATCATCACGGTGGCTAGCAGATGTTAACTACCTCGCATGGTATACAGGAGGTCGTGGGTTCGATCCCGACCCTGACGCCTGCTGCTGTATATTTGGAGTTTGCGTGTCTCTCTCTCTCATCATCATCATCACGGTGGCTAGCAGATGTTAACTACCTCGCATGGTATACAGGAGGTCGTGGGTTCGATCCCGACCCTGACGCCTGCTGCTGTATATTTGGAGTTTGCGTGTCTCTCTCTCATCATCATCATCATCACGGTGGCTAGCAGATGTTAACTACCTCGCCTGGTGTACATGAGGTCGTGGGTTCGATCCCGACCCTGACGCCTGCTGCTGTATATTTGGAGTTTGCGTGTCTCTCTCTCTCATCATCATCATCACGGTGGCTAGCAGATGTTAACTACCTCGCATGGTATACAGGAGGTCGTGGGTTCGATCCCGACCCTGACGCCTGCTGCTGTATATTTGGAGTTTGCGTGTCTCTCTCTCTCATCATCATCATCACGGTGGCTAGCAGATGTTAACTACCTCGCATGGTATACAGGAGGTCGTGGGTTCGATCCCGACCCTGACGCCTGCTGCTGTATATTTGGAGTTTGCGTGTCTCTCTCTCATCATCATCATCATCACGGTGGCTAGCAGATGTTAACTACCTCGCCTGGTGTACATGAGGTCGTGGGTTCGATCCCGACCCTGACGCCTGCTGCTGTATATTTGGAGTTTGCGTGTCTCTCTCTCATCATCATCACGGTGGCTATGAGATGTTAACTACCTCGCCCGGTATACAGGATGTCGTGGGTTCGATCCCGACCCTGACGCCTGCTGCTGTATATTCAGAGTCTGCGTGCCTCTCTCTGCCCGTGGTCGCGTGGATTTTTCTCCGGGTCCTCCTGGTGTTTCCCTCCACATTTAGAAACATCACGCGTTTAGAGTGTTTGGCTGGAGTTTGTATGTTCTCTCACTGAGCCGGTTATCTGTTTATTCCGAAGCGACCTGGCCACGAATGATAACTCAACACAGTGGAGTGTCATCGTGTCGTAGACAAATCCATCTCCTGTAGAGTACATCTAAATCAGACCCAGTCCCCCGTAAACCACGTGGCTTCTGTGTGCCCCCCCCCACTCCAACGTTCCACCAACGTTTGCCCCAACGTACCTCCAACGTTGCAATGTTTACCGGGTCGCCCCTCCGCGTTGACTAAAAACTCCGCGTGATTGTCGTGAACGTCACGCCAAACCCGGCAGCCCGCAACGGGCCTCTCGTAAAAGTGCAAAACCACTCCGGTGGCATTTGCTCTACGCAAGGAATCAAACACAAAAACGGACTCCCTCCAGAGCCGTATTCGACACGCGGCGTCTCATCGGCGAGGCGTTCCGCTGAGACCACGATGCTCAAATACACAGGTTGGATATCGACGGAGGAGAGACTCCCCCCCTCTCCGCACTCCGTGGATGCCTGAGCCGCACGTGCAACTGGAAGGGTTCGCTTCGTGGATAGCCCTGCCAGCTTCGTTGTTGCAAATGTTGGCCGATTGATGAGCATCGTAATGTCCACTCACGCAATGCCTTGTCTCTATAAGTGCCTTTGCCGCCCTCGCCCCCCCCACCCACCTACCCCTAGGTCGACTCAGCCTCAAACTAGTATCTGGCGCGGTGTTGTGTAACCCGTCAAAGCAGGGGAGACAAAGGCGGCCGGGCGCGGTGCTGTCCAAACCCACCCGGCTCCCTCGTTGCGTTGTGTGCCGTGCCGGTAGCCTTCATAGGCGCTCGCTAACAGCACTTGCCCCAACAGTCTGTAGCAGGCTATGGGGGGGGGGGGGGGATCTTTGTGTGTGTGTTTTTGTGTTCCCTGTATAATAGATGAATATATATTAACACGATGTATTATCACCTATGTATTTCTATTCGCGTGTCTGACGAATAGCGAGTGGCGGGTCACAGCCTGGCACGGAGATGGAGCTCTGGAATCATTATTATTATTTTTGACACGAGAGATGGAGCGCGGATTCGCGTGACCTTGAGCCCAAAAAAAAAAACTCAACGCGCCGTGGATTTATCGCGACGGCGGCGGCGGCGGCGGCGTCGTCTAGATGCGCCTCCACCTCAAGACGCCGCAGAGAAGCACCGCGCGTATTTATCACGACACAGGCAGACCGTGGGTCACGGGCAGAGGGGGAGCCGGGCAAGAACAATCGTGGAGACGTGAGGGGTAGGGGAGGAGTAGGAGCAGGGAGATCGTGGGGACGCGAGGGGTAGGGGAGGAGTAGGAGAGGGGAGATCGTGGGGAGGCGAGGGGTAGGGGAGGAGTAGGAGAGGGGAGATCGTGGGGACGCGAGGGGTAGGGGAGGAGTAGGAGAGGGGAGATCGTGGGGAGGCGAGGGGTAGGGGAGGTGACATCGTGGGGACGTGTGGAGTAGGGGAGGGGACATCGTGGAGATGTATGGAGTAGGGGAGGAGTAGGGGAGGAGTAAGGGAAGGGACATCGTGGAGACGCGAGGGGTAGGTGAAGAACAATCGTGGATACGCGTGGATTAGGGGAGGGGACATCGTGGAGACGCGTGGCTTCTGCGACGCCTTCCAAGTTGCCTGTCTGTCCGCGGACGAACCAACCCTACGCTGCGTGCACGCCGCGACTCGCCCGAGACCCGGGAGGCGATGGGCATGGACGAAGAAAATGGAACTCAAACTGGACAGGGACAAACAACCGAGCGCTTGGACTGAGTAGCCATTGAGAGGGAGGGAGGGAGTTGCACGTGGACTCTAGAGCACACGCGGAAAGAGATAGAGGGAAGGGGAGAGGCGAAAGCCGTTGTGTGCATGTTGTATGCATGTTGTATGCATGTTGTATGCATGTTTAGTCTATACCTCCTCCACCCTTTACCCGCGTCCAACAACTCGCACTGACCAACGTGCCACGATGTCTGACAATCGACGTGCCTCTACGTTGCTGGTTGTTCTTCTTGGTTCTTTCGGTAAAGTCACGTGGAAGGGAAGTAATAAAATAATAAAAATAAAACACAATACAATAATTCTCACGACGTTCCGGCCACAACGCAAGCAGCCGTCCTCAGGTGAAAACCAGGTCTGTCGAGGCGACAGCGTCTGAATGGAAAATTTCTGGTTGTTGTTGTTGTGCCCATGCGGTGTCGCAGTCCGCGTGGAGACACCGACACAGCGGTGACACGTGTCCCCACGTGATGCAGTCAGAACAGCTGACGCCTTCACGCAGAGGTCGCACATCGTGCGCTCCCTATCACCCCCCACCCCTCTCTTACTCTCTCTCTCTTTTACGATCAGAGGAAACAAGAAGATGCTCGGTGTAGTCGGCACTTTGCTTTGTTCATCAGTTCGTTTTTTTTTTCAATGCTTTGCTTTATGTGCTCCCCCCCCTCCCCTGTTTAAATGATAGATTTCACCAAAGATTTCACGCTCTGCTCTCTTCCTTCTTACCCCTTCCCTCTCTCTATCAGCTCTCTCATTTTTTACGATCAGTGGAAACAAGAAGATGCTCGGTGTAGTCGGCACTTTGGCTTCGTTCATCATTTCGTATTTTTAAAAAATAACTTTTCTTTATGTAAACCCCCACCTCTCGCTCACTCTCTCGCTCACTCTCTCAATCACTCTCTCGCTCACTCTCTCGGTCACTCTCTCACTCACTCTCTCGCTCACTCTCTCGGTCACTCTCTCGGTCACTCTCTCGCTCACTCTCTCGCTCACTCTCTCGGTCACTCTCTCGCTCACTCTCTCGCTCACTCTCTCGCTCTCTCTCTCGCTCACTCTCTCGTTCTGCACGCAGCCCTTCTCGCAGTCCGACGGCCTCCGACGGGTAGCTCATATCAGCACGCAGAGCTCCCCGTCATCTGCCACCGAGCACACGGCCTCCTCCATCGCCCACTGCTCCTTGAAGGCCGACACGGCGTGGGTCAGCCGCGCATGGCGGAACTCCAGCCCACACACCCTGGCTACGACCAGAGCGCGGAAGATGCCCCCAGGCTGCTGGCCGGACGTTTCCCCTCCAGGGCCACCTTCCTCGCCCTGTGCATGGCGAGCTTGGCATAGCAGACTGGCACGTTGACCAGCCCCTGAAGATGTTGGGGTCCGTCGCCCTGTTGGTATCCAAAGATGAGGACCGTCGGGGCGAAGTGAGGCTGAACCTTACGAGGATGTTTTTCGCTCTATCCTCTCAATCATCTCTCTCTCCCCTCCCCTCCCCCTGCCCTCTCTCTCCCCTCTTTCGCTCCGGCAGGACAGACACTCACTCTGGGACGATGCAGAGAAGACGAGTATGGCACCTGCGCAAGGATGGCACGCACGTTCTTGAAGAGCCCCCCCCCTCTCTTTCTCTTCACCCCCCCCCCCCTTCTCTCTCATCTCTCTCTGCTCTGGAACGTGGTCGATCCTTCCTCCCGCTAACCACTCGCACTCCCTCAATCCCCTGCCGCTCTCGCCGTGCCACGGGGCTGTTTGCGCGGTGGTTTACACACTGGCAGTGAGAGAGCGCGCGTGTGAATGTGTGTGTGAGTGTGTGTGAGTGTGTGTGCGAGTTTGTGTGTGTGAGTGTGTGAGTGTGTGTGTGAGTGTGTGTGAGTGTGTGTGTGAATGTTTGTGTGAGTGTGTGTGTGTGAGTGTGTGTGTGAATGTGTGTGTGAGTGTGTGAGTGTGTGTGTGTGAATGTGTGTGAGTGTGTGTGAGTGAGTGAGTGTGTGTGTGTGAGTGTGTGTTTGAATGTGTGTGAGTGTGTGTGTGAGTATTTGTGTGAATGTGTGTGTGAGTCTGTGTGTGAGTGTGTGTGTGAGTGTTTGTGTGAATGTGTGTGTGTGTGAGTGAATGTGTGTGTGTAAGTGTGTGAGTGTGTGTGAGTCTGTGTGAGTGTATGTGTGAATGTGTGTGTGTGAGTGTGTCAGCGTGCGTGTGTGAGTCTGTGTAAGTGTGCGTGTGTGAGTGTGTGTGTGAGTGTGTGAGTGTTTGTGTGAATGTGTGTGTGTGTGAGTGTGTGTGTGAATGTGTGTATGTGTGTATGTGAGAGAGTGTGTATGTCAGAGTGTGTCAGTGTGCGTGTGGGGAGTGGTAGTCGAGCGGTTAGCGCTACGCTGCGCTACGAAAACAGCCACCCGAGTTCGATTCCCGCTCACGGCCAACACCGGTGACGATTATCTGAACCGGTCCTGGGCCTCCTCTAGGTCGACTCAGTGTCAAATGAGTACCTGGTGCGGAGAGTAGTAAACATCGCCACTGGGGAGACAAAGGCGGCCGGGCGTGGTGCTGGCCACCCACCCCCTCGTGTGCCGTGCCGGCCTTCATAGGCGCTGCTACTCGCTAACGGCACTTGCCCCAACAGTCCGCGAGAGGCTACACGGGGGATCTTTGTCTTTGTTTGTATTTGCGGATCAATGAGGCGCGGCGGAGGCGATTAAGCCATTAAGGATTCGGGCGGTGAGACATCGATACAGGGGGTCGGGGCACTTTTTAGACACTCATGCGAGACGGGAGATCGATCCGAGAGAGACAGAGACTGACGGACGCGCGGACACGTTCCATTAAGCGACAATCCTCGCGATTAAAACTCCGAATTTTACGCATCCGACACCCGAAACGGGCTTTTGTTGTTTAAAAATGTTATCGTTTACTCGTGTTTAAAATCATCTCCCTTCAGTCAAGTGTGTGGGAAGCTAACTGCGTTCTGTTGAAAGAAATTGGGAAGTGGTGGACATTCCACATTCCCGCGACGGGGCATGGTACATCCACAGGGCAGCCGTTTTGTCTTCTAGCGGACGGTGGCTCAGCATTGAGACAATTGGCGTTACTTGACACCACAATCATCGGCGCCATGAATGTGTGCGAACTTCTATCGCACCGTACGTGCTCAACCGTGCTAATCGGAGGTGCGAATCATCATCAGCATCATCATCATCACCACAAACACCACCAACATCATCACCACCACCATCATCACCACAAACACCACCAACATCATCATCACCACCACCAACATCATCATCACCGCCACCATCATCACCACAACCACCACCAACATCACCACCACCACCATCATCACCACCACCATCATCACCACAAACACCACCAACATCATCATCACCACCACCAACATCATCATCACCGCCACCATCATCACCACAACCACCACCAACATCACCACCACCACCATCATCACCACCACCATCATCACCACAAACACCACCAACATCATCATCACCACCACCAACATCATCATCACCGCTACCATCATCACCACAACCACCACCAACATCACCACCATCATCACCACCACCATCATCACCACAAACACCACCAACATCATCACCACCACCATCATCATCACCACCACCAACATCATCATCATCACCACCACCACCAACATCATCACCACCACCATCATCATCAACACCATCACCACCATCACCAAAATGATGATCAACCATCACCACCGTCATCAACAGACACATCATCATCACCATCACCACCGCCAGAAGGATCATCACCACCAAATATCCCCCGTGTTGCCTTGAACAGACTGTTGGGGCATGTACTGTTAGCGAGCAGCACCTATGAAGGCTGGGACAACGCACGAGGGGGTGGGTGGCCATGACCACGCCCGGCCGCCTTTGTCTCCCCAGTGGCGATGTTTACACACCGCACCAGGTACTCATTTGAGGCCGAGTCGATTCAGATAATCGTCGAAGATGCTCGGGTGTAGTCGGCCGCGAGCCTCAAATAGCTACCTGGGTGCGTTGTGCTGTAAACATCGCCACTGGGGAGACAAAGGCGGCCCGGCGTGATGCTGGCCACTGGCGTAGTGCTTGAGGCATTTCTATTAATGTGGAGAGAGAGAGAGGAACTCGTGTCTTTGGGCGAGGTCCTTTGTGTAGGATGTTGGGGGCTTTGGTTGCGATGGAGGCTCCTGTTGTTGTTTTGCTTCGTTCCCGCAGCCTCACTCCTCCTTCGCGATCTTGTCTTCGACTCGCGCTTTAATTTTGTTTGGGGCAATCCCTCCGGCAAATGTCCCTCTTTGCAAAGCTTGCATCTGACGCAATCCTCGTCGTGGAACAATCTGTGGGCTGTGTTGTCTTAGACGACGACGAAGACAAAAGACCCCTCCTCCTGCTGCCCGGAAGTCAGCAGGCACGTGCACCTGCCTCTCTAAAAGATAGAGGATGTTAATTGTTTTGTTACCCTTCTATCGGGCAACAAAACTGACACCTGACACAAACATAACTCTGATAATGTGCATACATGATCAGAGTTATGTTTTTTGTTTGCATTATGACTGCAGGTATTGTGGTCTATGCAAACATGACTCATTGTAAAAAAAAAGGTGTCAGTTTTGTTGCCAGATAGAAGGTTAAAAAAACAATTATCATACTTTTTTACTGGCAAATGAGGTTCCAATGGTGTAAAAGATAGGCTGTGTTTCAGGGCAGGGTGCCTGCTCCCCAGTGGCAGGGCACGTACGGGCGACACGACAGCGCCCATCTTGGACACGTGCTCCAACACGGCCTTGTCGGGGATGCAGGGTGGCGCGTTCAAGACGACGATTTGCGCCGTCACCAAAGCAAGTCCTTCCAGACTAGATTCGAAGCTCGGTTTGCTGAGACAAGCCGGTGGACTGGGTTACGGACGGGAGCTCTTCCCGACAGATCTGGAGGCTGATCCACCAGTCGACGCCGTCGATGTTCTACGGCAGCCGCCTATTGGATGCGTGGCGTAGCTTGTTGTTGTTGTTGGCATTGACGCTTCCTCGAAGCAATACATTTTCTTTTTAAAGTCAGTCACTCTCACTCCTCATTCACTCTCCACCCACTCTCCACCCCTCTCCACCCACTCTCCCCTCACTCTCACCCTCAATCTCACTCACTCTCCCCTCACTCTCCACCCACTCTCCCCTCACTCTCCCCTCACTCTCCACTCACTCTCCCCTCAGTCTCCACCCACTCTCCCCTCACTCTCCACCCACTCTCCCCTCACTCTCCCCTCACTCTCCCCTCACTCTCCACTCACTCTCCCCTCACTCTCCCCTCACTCTCACCCACTCTCCCCTCACTCTCCCCTCACTCTCCCCTCACTCTCCCCTCACTCTCCCCTCACTCTCCCCTCACTCTCCCCTCACTCTCCACCCACTCTCCCCTCACTCTCCACTCACATCTCCCTCACTCTCCCCTCACTTTCCCTCACTCTCTCCTCACTCTCCCCTCACTCTCCCCTCACTCTCCCCTCACTCTCCCCTCACTCTCCCCTCACTCTCCCCTCACTCTCCCCCTCACTCTCCCCTCACTCTCCCCTCACTCTCCCCTCACTCTCCCCTCACTCTCCCCCCACTCTCCCCTCACTCTCCCCTCACTCTCCCCTCACTCTCCCCTCACTCTCCCCTCACTCTCCCCTCACTCTCCCCTCACTCTCCACTCACTCTCCACCCACTCTCCACTCACTCTCCACTCACTCTCCACTCACTCTCCCCTCACTCTCCACTCACTCTCCACTCACTCTCCACTCACTCTTCACTCACTCTCCACTCACTCTCCCCTCACTCTCCCCTCACTCTCCACTCACTCTCCACTCACTCTCCACTCACTCTCCCCTCACTCTCCACTCACTCTCCACTCACTCTCCACTCACTCTCCACTCACTCTCCACTCACTCTCCCTCACTCTCCCCTCACTCTCCACTCACTCTCCCCTCACTCTCCCCTCACTCTCCCCTCACTCTCCACCCACTCTCCCCTCACTCTCCACTCACTCTCCACCCACTCTCCACTCACTCTCCACTCACTCTCCACTCACTCTCCCCTCACTCTCCACTCACTCTCCACTCACTCTCCACGCACGCTTCACTCACTCTCCACTCACTCTCCCCTCACTCTCCCCTCACTCTCCACCCACTCTCCACTCACTCTTCACTCACTCTCCACTCACTCTCCACCCACTCTCCCCCTCACTCTCCACCCACTCTCCACTCACTCTCCACTCACTCCTCCACTCACTCTCCACCCCACTCTCCCCTCACTCTCCCCTCACTCTCCCCTCACTCTCCACCCACTCTCCCCTCACTCTCCCCCTCACTCTCCCCTCACTCTCCCCTCACTCTCCACCCACTCTCCCCTCACTCTCCACTCACTCTCCACTCACTCTCCACCCACTCTCCCCTCACTCTCCACCCACTCTCCACTCACTCTCCACTCACTCTCCACTCACTCTCCACCCACTCTCCCTCACTCTCCACCCACTCTCCACTCACTCTCCCTCACTCCCACTCACTCTCCACCCACTCTCCACTCACTCTCCCCTCACTCTCCCCTCACTCTCCACTCACTCTCCACTCACTC